GTCTTCTCTCTCCAATAAGCTCAGTACAATATCTTCTTCAGACATTCGACGCACCATGACGCACCGTTGCAAGAGCAGATCTATAAACCTGGCATCAGAACGTGACTTTGCCATGCTTCGCTCTTCCCTGGGCTCAACACCTTCTAAAGATCCGTGTGTCGTTCGACTTTTCCTTTGAGTTGCATGTGGACGTAGAGTGCCCCTGCTGTACATGGCCCATCCTGATGACGCATTATAGTCATTTGAAAGTGGAGGGGGCGACCAACAAAAGAGCGACTGGATAGCAGGGCTTGGCTTCTCCGCTGTATTCAAGCTGCATCACGCATAATTGCGCAAGCGCGAGGTTTGACCTACCCCTGGATTCATGCAGTTTGTGGGATCCATCTTACACCATCTGTGTTGAGTGTCATGCGGCGCGGCATACTCAGCGCCATGTCCATGTTCTGCTGGGAGCTTGCCACCACTACCTGACCAAACTGCACATGCTTACTTGCATGATCTGCATGCATTGCCTCTCATGTACTTCCGCCATGGTTCTGTCAATAAACTTTTTGATCTTCTTTTTCACTTCCTGAGCGACCAAAAAAAACTTGAAGCTGGTAGCATGCTGCAACGACGAAACAAACACTGAGCTCCACACCTCTGCATCCACGTCATTCCGCAGAACCAGGCTCTCGTGGAACACATTACATCCGAAATGAGAGCAAAGGCAGCGCATTTCGATCCCCCAATCCTCTGGCAATTCAAGGATCTCGTCGAAATTCCTGAGGAGACGATAGAGTGGAATGCACTGTAGCCCTTGCGAAGAAAGCTAAGATTTCTGAAAATTGACTTGAACTGTTGTTATTGATTCTTCAAGGAGTGGTGTATCTGCGCGTAGTGCTTCCCAGTTCTTCTAGCACCAACACACGGCTCAGTTTAAGGACTTTCGGACACCTTGATCGATTTAGCTCTGTCTCTCTCTTGCTTGCTTGCTGGGGGCGTAGGGGCTGCAATCAACCCCTTGGCCCGACTACCCCTCGTGGCGAGCGTCTGAGCGTCTGATCGGCCCCTTTCGGGGGTTGGATCGTTGCATGTTCCCCTGAATGCGCCTGAAGTGCAACCCCCCCCCCAGAAGACACCCCTCCTAAGATATACCCTCAGGCACCATTCAGGTCATCCATGCGATCCCAACTAACTTTGAGTGCAGGAGCACATCGGGAGAAGCAACACTAGAAACAAGTAACTGCCCTCACTAATGCGACGAAACCGTTGTGCTCCTGCTGCTGTTCGTCCCGGTGTGGTAGTTGTGGAGGAGGTGCAGGCCGGGTAGTAGTCGATGCTTTGGTTCTCTTCGGTCGTCGTACTACATGTCGTGGAGATGGTCGACGAGGGGTCTCTCTCTGTCTTGCTTGCTTCTCTCTGTTGCTACAACAGCTACTTTTGTCAGATAGGCTTTGATAAAATGAATTCTATGGTAGAGACCAAGAATCGATTCGGTTTTATCTGAAAGTCCGAAAATCGTGTTGAACCAATGAAAATCAAAGCTTGACTTTAATGCCCTGTGTGGAAACAACTCTATTCCGTGTCGAAGCATTTCGAGATTCAGCCAATTGCTCTTGAATTAACATGTTCACCCTGCGTGCCATGTCACTCTCTCTCTCTCTATATATATACACATGTACAATTTTATTTATATTTGTGTGTATATATATATATACATGCATACATATATATAGAGAGAGAGGGGCATAACTATACTGCAAGTATAAGTATATATTGTGGTTGTTTGTCTCAGGTGGATTCAGAAAGATCCGGCAATGGTTAACCACTAAGTTTCCGCTCTTCCTGGTCACATGGTGCCTTTTCGGCCCCTTCCGCAGAGGGGGGTCAATCAAAGACAAGAGCAGGAGCGGGTGAAGAGGCGGGGCGGGAAAGAAGAGAGGGGAAAGAGGACGAGGGGCTAGAAAAAAGGCTTGGCACCCACCGCGGTAGTGTCACCAAACAGGGACCTGTGGCAACAAAATAGGAGGGGTTAGAAAACAAGGAAGCTTGAACAAAGATGGGCCCAGCATGGCCCAACAAATGCTGGCGTCGGTACTGGCGCTCTTTACCCTTCATATACACAACTCAATTGTCTGCTTGGGCACTTGGGCATCGCATAGTCGATGATCAGACCTTGTCGACCGGTGCCAACTGCCATGGTTCGAATGGATGGCTGAACCGCGAAGCGGAACAGCATGACCCGCGACGACTCAAAAGCCTTGGCTTGCGCAACCTGCGCGAGGAGCTCTTTCATGCATAACAAACCCCTGCAAGGCATTCCAAGGCACATCGCGGCAAACATAGCTCTTGGCCTGGCCTGTCCGAGAGCTTCCGACTGCAATGCGGAGGTGCTGTTCGAAATTCCCACCTTCAGGCAGTGTGGCGAGGAAACTGTCCAGCAGTGCCTCCCAGCTCATGCTTGCGCCGACTTCAGCTGGCCCTCTGTGCTTCGCTGCTTCGCCTCTCGATCCCAAGGGCCTTGGATCTCTGGGCACCTGGGAGCCCAGAACAGGAAGCCGCGCCTCCAGGCGCTTCAGCTCACCACCGCCAAACCTGGAGACTCAGCTGGTGCTGGGCCCGGCGGGACATGTCAAGGCCAAGCACCAGCACAAGTAAACGGATGTTTTCTTTCATAGGTCCCTAAGGAAGGGAACCTCGTCTGCATTGTCACGGGGCTTCCTGGGCCGCTACGTTACGTCATTCGGGTTTCTGCTAAAGCAGGCACGGGGCTCTGTCATTTCCATGATGACGTGATGGTCATAGTCTCGCCCCTGCTGCATCAGCTGCGTTGGCAAGGACTCGGGGAAGAGCGGATTAAGGTACCAAAGGACCGTGTCCTCAGCTTTGCTCTATGCTCATGGCAGACGGAGGTTTGGGTTCTGTGCTGGTCGAGTATCTGCCAGAATGTTGACAAAAGGAATCGGCAATGCCTCGAATTTCAGCTTGAAGTTCCACAAGCCTGATAAGTTCATCATCCCAAGAAGCTCGATGAGCTTGATTAAGACACGTCCGCCGCGATCGCAACAGTCGAACTGGGCACGCCCCATATATTCGAACTGCTTCGGCAAGCAATCTGGGGAACTGAGGGCCACTTTCCTTTTGAGCAGATTAGCAGTCGCGAAGTCTTTGCAGGAAATCCAAACGAACTTGCTTTGACGAGGCAGTGGGAAAGTGTCGTGAACTGTCGCAAGAATGAGCACTTTGCCCTCGGATCGATTGCAATCTTCACCTGCCAGGTCTGAGCAATACCTCGAGGCTTTCTCATCGAAGGTGGTGACGTGGACTGGGTAGTTCGGCCACGAGGCTGCTAATTGACATGTCGGGTCAACGTCACCCTCCGCAAGCTCTCCGGCACCGTCTAGGAACGGCACGATGTCCTGTCCCGGCGGAGTCTTCAGACCTAGCGTGTTGACCACCTCCACCTCACCCTGTTTCGTGACACGGCAGTACAGTGCCCGATCTGTGTAGGCTGGCCCCTTGTGGACCTGCGTACCGCCACTGCCGAAGGCGATGCCAGCTGCTACCGAAGGGTTCAGGAAGATGGAGCCCAGCACCGAATGGGAGTCGCGTTTCAACGGCTTTAGTGCTTCCTGAAGGCTAAAGATTCCAGCACCAGCAAAGCACAGCACGTGCTCTCCAGCACCGATCGGGAGGATCTTATCCAGTCGTCTCATGTTAATGACCACAAATGGCCTATCACATCCAGAGTCACGGGGAACGGAGCCTCCCGTCAATCCAGTCTTTGCCCCTTGAGGGGTGATAGCAGTGTCTGCTGCAACGCAAGCACGGAGAACCTGGACTGCTTCATTGAGAGTCCCAGGTCTGACGACTGCCAGAGCAAGGCCTCTCCCCACCATAGTCCCCGTCTCCTCTGAATCTTCCACAACGTTGCTCGGACCAACCTTGCACAAAAGCACGACTTCATCAAACGTGCATGGAAGACCACAACCTCAACAACATCGATACGGTGCCAATCCCACTGTCCAATGTTGGTTGGCTTCTTCACCACAGGCAACCGCCGTGCTATCGAAGCAACTCCGCCATGATCCAAATTAACATGAACCAAACACATGCGGTGATGTCATGCAGACCAGCAACAATGGTGCGGAGTTTCTGGGCCAAAGACCGCTGAGCAGGGGTTAAAGCCTGTCCGCCCAGCATGCTTGCAGTGCTGTCGGAAGCGACTGGGCCTGAGAAGGACTTTCAACTCCTCGCCTGGTCGCAACACGTGCGGAAGCCAGAGCCAGGCAATGCCCGCTCCCGCAGCCTGGCAGTCGCAAACACGTGCCCATGCATTGCAACAAGAGTAGTCATTTCAAGATAGCAGAATATAATTGACCTCTGAGGCATACGAGCAGGCAGGAGAAAGCAGGGCTATGCGAAAATCGCTGCAAAGCAAGCCGCAATCACTGCTCGGTGTCTAGAGGCCATTCGAAGCTACTGCGGTGCCTTCAATTCTAGCTGGCTCCGGCCTCGAATCTGCAAAGGTCAGGGACAGGCCGATGCCAAATCCGAGCGCGCCGGCAGCTGCCACAGCCCCAGCACCGTAACTCCTACCGGTCCCACCGGGTGTACGGATGTCTCTGGACCGAAGACTGAAGCACGTTTAGCATTCCGTTGACACAATTACAGCTCGGGCAACTCATTGTGGGGCGCTTCTTCTGTCCTCTCACCAGATGCAGCCGCCCTGGGCGCCCATCGAAGAAAATGAGCAACCCGTGATGGTCTCATGGCTCACACTTGAGGCGCTGCATCTAGCGACGTTAACAACAACTTATGACTGGCTTGATGAGCACCTAATTCTTTCGTACTACTGACGAGAGTGAACGATAGTGAAGCCGAGAAGGTTGCACGATGTCGGCCAATCTATTGAAATTGTCTTTGTGTAGTTGAAACTTCCAGATTCCAACAGCCAAAGCAGAGAATCTTGCCTTGCTGCTCGTCGCCACAATGCTCCATCCTGCATCCCTCCATGTTCAAATCAAAGAGGACAAATTTTCTCGCATCTTACTCGCAGCTTGGCGCTGTGTTCGACTTGCATCAGAAAGTGTGTGGTGCCTGCCAGCATGAGACCAAGTAAGGAATCGGCACAGATGCGTCTGCTCAAGGATGTGAATCACAACGTAATTCGAAGGGTGAGTAGTGCGGCTGTCGAGATGCATTTGCATCGAGTTGACAAAGCATGTTATGGACTCAGAATTCGCTTTGAAACACGCATCTCCGGTCAATTTGCCCGCTTGCCTCCTCCAGTACTTCAATGCCTCGGCCTTGAGCCGTTGCAGTACCGGCGGTGTGACCATGAATGCCCGGCAGGAGACGATCGTGGCGAGCAGCGCCTGCGTCTGAGTCTGCAGGTTGATTAGCGCAAGGGAGACGAACCCCCCACACATACCCAGACACAGTCCCCTAGGGCCTGCCGAGCCTCAAAACTACACGAACGACCCTGGACTCGAAGAGGTCTAGCTGTCGGGCAACAGCTATTTTGAGCATGCATGCAGGCGAACCTATCTCAAGCTCTCCCGGCACCTCATAGAAGATCTCATCCACACCTTCGGCGACACTGATGAGCTCGTCCGCCTGATTCTGGCTTTGGTATCTTGGAATGCGGTCTTGGGTGCGCCCGGCCTGGTAGAGGGAGGCCGCCCAAGACCCACTTGCAGAAAGGCCAGTGATCGAGAGAAGGTCGGGCTGCAGCGAGACCTCCACTGTGACTGCACATCGCTCTTCGTTGCCGCTCGCATGTCCACCCATCTTTCTCGCATGTCGCCAAGCTGCCAAAAAACCTGTCACAACAGCGAAGATCCAGCCAAGAGCACATACCACCATAGGCATCCCAGCATGTTCAACCAAAACGACAGGCATTTATCATGTACACGTTGCTGTGGAGCCTATTTCATGGCCCTTCATCGCCCACCGGCCCTGAGAGAATTGCACATCGAATGAGAGATTAGTGCCCGGCTCAGCTTGGAAAGTGGGATGGGGCAGGTTTGATTGATCAAAACCACAGTATTCCCACACTTTGACTCCTATCATCATGGCGGTCTCCCCCCTTATGTCATCGTCGTCCCGATCTGGGACTTGAAGGACTTCGCTCGAGGAGCGCGAAGGTTTTGCACATCAGCCGCAACAGTGCGCATTATTGAAATGGGGAGGTCGTTCAGAATCTCACGACTCGGGCATTTCTCGAGCTGTTTGAGAGGCCTGCATCACTCGGAAAGCGCAAGCCCTCTGCCGATCATCGAAATGCCAAACAGCAGCAGCTTAGGGCACCTGGAGGAGGTTTGAGAAGAAGCATGTCGCGTGCTCCCAGGAGGAAGGATTCTTCGCGAAGCCCTTGGTGTGTCGCAACAGAGCAGCTGCCCCTCTTCACAATCCCTGTAGGATGATGGACATGAACATTCGAGCACTTCCAACAGTCGCGAATGTCGCTGTTTCTGGCTCACGCGACACTCAGTTCTAATCGTTAAAGGTTCTTGGTGCCGGTGCCGGTACTTTTGAAAGTTGGATGCTTGCAACTCTCAACGATGCCTGCAAGCGCCGTCAAGCTGTACAAAGGAACACAGGTCGTGGCTCTTGCAACGAACCTGCCATAACATGCTTCTACCGCCCAATCCCGGCAGCCAATGAAAGCTCGCTGTTCCGATGGATCTGCCTCTTTTGATTGGGTCTTTCCAGGGAGCCCCCTCTCACTGCTTCAATGTGTTCGGATGTTCGCTGTAGCCACCTTTGCCCTTCTCTGTGCCGAGTTGAGGAAGACGTGTAGAGCCCAACAATGATGGGTAAGGCGACATCTTTGGTTCGTGGCTCCCCTCTGTCTCGAGGATGGCCAATGCCTGCTGAAGCTTCTGCCGCTCTGCAGCGGACAGGTCAGACACAACACCAGCGACATCGGCGTCCGTTGCTGCCTGCACATGGGTAGTGGGTAGCGCTTGGACAGAAGCCCCAGAGCCCATCTTAACGGCCTTGGAAAGTCTAGCACAACTTACTTTGCCGCTTGAGCAAAATCACTGCATGTCAATGTCACTGCATGCCAAGGTCAACAACTCAGCAACGAAAGTGACCATTTGCAGCGCCGTCACGTTCAGGACTGAATTGGCCATGGGCAGATTCCTCAGAAAGCTGCCAGTCTCATTCGGATCCCTTATCCTGTTTTTGAATTTTTTGTCCCTTGCAAACACGAGCGCAAAAGCTTCTGTTCCGGAAAGCGTCACGGTGACCCCACTTACCAGTGCCAACGCCCGCTGCCAGATCCTGAGGCGAATGATATGCGCAGCATAACCCGCACAATTTCAGGCAAACGACCCTCAGCTGGACTTTACTGCGGCCAACGTGCCCTGTGCGACCGCAGGAATCTGCAGCCGCGCCAAGCATCACCTTAAAGCAGATTGACGTAGATTGACCCTCTGCTGAACCGGCAAGAGGGCGTTTCAAAATCCGCAGGAAGCAAACTCCCCTGTGAACAAGCAGGGCCTGCTGCCCCACCCAACGCACCTCCTAGGTCCTACCATGCCTAAGCAGTGGCAAGGCACTCTTGCTAATTCACACGGCCCTGAATTCAGGTGATGGTCCTTTCAGCTTAGTATCATTCGAAGTCTCGCGGCCTGCAGCACTTTGCCGCTGATCCAAGATCATGCTAGCTGTATGCCACTAGGGTGCTAGCACTTTGCCTAGCGGCCTAGCTCTTGCCATTCACTCGTGTCATACTACGATCTTTGTGCCAGCCTCTTGGCGGGTTGACTTGTTTGATAGCCTTCCTGTTCCGATTGCATCTTGCACCGACATGACTTCCCGTAATTAGCTTACCTCGAGCTGAACGTGGCGTGAAAAGCCCACATTGCAACCCGCCTTGTCGAGATCAAGCCCCAGCGCCATGGATTCTTGGAGTGTGTGGCATGCCGTGCGCCACCTGGACAAATCGGGACAGTCAGCCACGGAACCTCAGATGGCTCCAGAGGTCTCGATGCGAAGGCTCCAGAAGTCTGGCCTTTCAGCTTTGGCTTGGCCACTCAAGATTGCAGTGGCCAGGACAGCATCGGTCTCCACAGCCTGCAATGTCAGACAGTGGCAGGTGTCTTTCTGATGCGACCCTCGCCACATTCGTGGTTGCTTGAGTGGCTTCTTGAGATGGGCAATGCTGAGCAGGAACATCTCATGACTCTATCGTCGTGTGCCTGCTTGCGCATCATTGCAAGGAGCCCAGAAGTTAGATGACTCTGCTCCACATGTTCAGAACCTGGGGCTGAAAGCTGCGAGAAGGCCAGGGTTCACACAGCATTCTCTGTTCACGAGGCCGCCCTGTGTCTTTGCTGGGCAACACGGCAGCGAGTCCACAACAGCTGCAAATGAAACACAGTCCTCAGTCGCGCATTCCCCCTGAAGTGGATGTGCTTCTCTTACTTTAGCTCGCCAGATCTCTCAGTTCACTTGCGTGCGACATGAGTCTAATGCAGTCGGCAGTATGAAGCAGAGGCTCAGCCGCGATTCGCTGCAGCTCCATGCAGTGTAAGCAAGCCTTTGCTGCCCTAGGCACCCTACAGTCGCTGAGTTCACTGTTCAGCACGGTGGGTAGTGCCCGGAAAACGCTGGAAAATGGCTAGGCTCCCTGTTAGGGTTCTCCAGGCTCTGGCAAGGACTAACTGTTTGTTCGCTGAAGCGAGAAAGAACTTGACAAAAGCAATTCCGGTTTGCCCCAATGGGCATACTCGGCAGCAGCCGACAGTCCGAGACACATGGGGGTTCAGATATGGAACTGGTGCTTCTCTCGCTCTGACATGTCGAGCTTCGCAGCTTCAGCTTCTGCCGAGTCGTGGTAGTGGACACTGCCACCCATAAGACACGCACAGAGACATCCTTCTCTCCTAGCCCTTGGATGTTCTCTGGAAAGCAGGCTTAACTTAACACAAGCAAGCCAAGACAAGAAGCTATGCCCATCTCCCATTGCCGCATCCCAGAGCAGGCGCTTATGACCGAGTTCCAGCTGATGGCGTCAACCTGCACCTGCAAGCTGCTCCTTGGTTCCACCGTAGTTTCAAGCTCGCCGCCCAAACCAGGATGTAGACTCACGGCTCAGGCAGCACCGGTGGAGCTGCACCCTAACTGCTGTCTGTTACTGGTAGAATCTACCAAGATGGAAATGAACGAAGATGTGTCCACGCCCAAGCTTCGCCATGTTCAGCAAAGCCAGGGATAGCTGCCACTTGCCAGAGCGAGCACAAGCGCTCAGAGTCGAGTTTAGGGAGGGAGACGTCGGTCTCAAACCTTCCCGGGAAGACTGCCAAAGAAGCAGCATGGCCTCGGATCCATGCCGCACTGAGCTTGTATGGATTGCAGAAACACGGGTTTCAATTCGCTTCACATGGCTTCACTGATGACCAGCCTACAGTACCGAAACAGGTGACCATGGGCTGGGCCTCTCTGAACTTGCAGGCAACTGCGACGTCTGCTGCTTGGCACTCGCCCTTCCAGAAAAGCGATAAACAACTGATGGAAGCTCCAGGAGCATGCTGCCACTGGCTCGCCCGCTCCATGGCAGCTATTGCCTTGGGAAGGCATGTTGCCGATTGTTGCCTCATGGCGATCATCTATGATCACCTCATGTTTGCCTCATGCTCCCATAGTTTTCCTTTCCTCGGGATCATTGTCACCAACAGCAGCAGCCACGACAGCAGCCAGGGCGCCGCATTGAACGTCACAATGTTGACCTCCTCTCCTTCAGGTAGATGTGGTCCATCTTGAATCAAAGACAATGCCTGGCAACAGCTTTTTTCCTAGCCTCGCAACAGCCAAAGCCACAAATCGGCCGAACCTTCTGCCACCGCGATCCTCGCTCTGCAGCTGCTACCAGAGTACCTCCGGTTCAGCAGGGGCCTCTTGGCCTTCTCTCAGAGATCGAACCCGAGCCTGATGTCCTCGAGGATGCGCATAAGCGTCGATGCCTCAGATTTTATGGCTTCACTTGTTGGCACAAGCTCTGCGCTTACTGCTCAACCTTAGTTCAGCAGGCCCTCCAGTCTCGCTGAGCCTCGGAATGGCCTCAATCATGGCAATCGAACTTTCCCAGCGCGACCCTTTGCTGCAGGCATCTGCTGCAGAGTTGAAGCCTTGCACGTGAATCTGCAAAGCAGAAGGACACAAGATGCTTGAATCTAGACGGAAGACACAGACCGAGGCCTTAGGTCGACACTAATAGTCGTGGGCTTGCGAGCATCTCCTACCATAGGACCTGGCACACACGTAAACAGCAAGCGTGCCAGAAGTTGACAAAGTGGACAAAAGTGCGCAAAGGATCTTCGTTCGCACCTGTGATCTGCAGGGCACTCTGCCACCGTGCACACTTTGCGCCCGCACCCAAGGCTGCATTCTGCAAAGCCACATCCACAACTTGGTCCACAAATGAGTGGCGCTCTTGCAAGTCTTGGCGAGAGCAGCAAAATTCATGGAAATGCAGTCACAGTTGTCGACCAAGGGGCTAATGTTCGATTGCGCCGCTTGAGCCAGTAAACCCACTGCATCCTCGCAGCATGTCAATCTTTGCCCTCATCACATTTCCACCCGGCATGTATACGAAACCCGAAGCCGTGCACGCAGCCACTGGCATGGCTTTCGCTCTGTGTCGCTGACTGTCACCTTTGCTTACCACGTTCCTTCCAAAGATGGCCACGGTTGCAGCTTGCTGCGGCGGCACTCAGCACAAAGGCGTCGAGCTCGAGCTCCAGTCCTGAAGAGAGGTAAAACGGTAAAATGTTAAATGGCCACAGCGAGACTTGCCACTGTCCGGCCTCGGTAACGGATCCAGGCGGCCCAGGCATGCTGCCAAAGGCTCCGGCGATTCGCTGCCGAGATGCTGGCTGTGAGCTGGCGAAGCCCTGCGAGGGAAGCACACGAAGGGCACAATGCACAGCTTGAGCAGATCCCAGCTGACCTGCAAATAGTTGCATCCATGGCCCACTCTCGGACGGAAGCCGGTGGAAGCGAAGTTATCCGACCGTGCAGCTGCACTCTGGACTCCGGAGTCCGAAAAGTACTTCAATATGTGTGAAATGTCCCATGTTTGCTCACAAGCTCCGAACCGACTTGGGCCAAAGGCGTCAATTTTGCAGCATTTGGGCCGCTGGGAGCGCTCGGCCTTTTCTCGATTCATTTTATCCAGTGGTCGGGGCGGGCTCAGTGGGCTCACCTCAGCCGCTGAGCTTCCGCGATGCCTGGCAGGAACCCGCGGGCTTGGCTGGAAGCCCTGGGGTCACGACATCTCCCAATCGGCATTCGTGACGACCGAAGGACCACAGCTCAACGAGGACCCTTTTGCTGCCTCTTCGCGCAAGGCATGGTAAACTCTGGTAAACTGTACAAAGTGCGGTGCGGACATGTCGTACGGCGTACGGATCGCAGTCCAACCCCCAGCTTGTTTAAGAATTCCTTTAAGAACTCCTGCCAAACAAAAACATGAACACATGTTTACGCAAACACGGAGGCGGGGAGAGAGAGAGAGAGAGAGAGTTCAAAACCTGCGTGCGTACATACGTACATAGAACCCTTTGTGTAATTTCAGAATTGAGCTGGTACAAGATGAACTCTACCATTACGCAATTCCTCTACGACCTCATCACCTTGAGCACAGGAAATCTTATAGGATTGTTGATCTAGAATTCTCCACCTCCTTTATTGCTCTATGATTTTCAAGCACAGCACGTCCTGTATCAGATTATTAGTCGCTGGTGTGCCTTGTTTAACAAAAAACAAAGAAGCACTGAGCTTAACTAATGAAGTGACAATGTCAGTTCGCTTTACAATTAAATAGTTAAACCAGAAGCATGCCCGAGAACACAGCCTAGAATGACCGTGTAGAATTAGGCTATAAGGATCAAAGCGAAGGTCAACAACTGAAAGGCTTGCACTTGACTTAGCTTTTTCCTCATTGATGTCAGATTCCTACCCCACTAGCAGACCATTCGATTGCCGATGTCTACTCGTAAACTAGCAAAACGCAGGGGTCGTTTCCGACCTCTAACGTGCACATTTAGCTTTCTATTAAACACACGAAGGTATGTACATACATGTAATACATGCATACATACATTTGCATACCTGCATACCTGCATACCTACATACATACATACATACATGCATACATGCATACATGCATACATACATTACGACATACAGCATACATTATCCCGCCGGCTGGGAAAGCTGGGCTGGCAAGCCTAATCATCCGGGAAGTGCAGGTGTGAAATCAAACAGTTGAGACTAAATCTGAAGATGATGCTGAGGGAGCACCCCTTCAGCTTGATACCGTTGCCACTGGGCCCCATTGCTGCCGGGCTCCGCTCGTGCGAAGCCCAGTGACACGACTTCCTGTCACTTGCTACCACTACCATTACTCCTGTACCAGTCACTGTGACTGCCTAGGGCTCCAACAGCGAAGTCTGGGCAGCCTGACTACTGATCCACGCACATGAAGTAACTATGTGTTGACAAACGAGCCTGGAGGCCAATATACAAGATTGCTGCTCCTTCGCTTTGGTATGGCCCCCATCTTGCTATGCAAACCCGCGAGCTCATCGACGAAACAGCCAGGGATGGCCAGGGCCACCCGAATACACACGTGCACACAAGCAAAAAACAACAAAGGGAACAGTCAGCAAGCGCTGCAGACACGAGATTTCTTGAAACGCAGAAGCTCCACACACGGCTGCTCTACAATGCGATGATGCACGGGGATTGACGAACTCGCCTCGTTCGGCCACTGCGGAGTGGCTGGACCACATCATGCGGACAAAGGGGCACTGTAGCTGCAGAGCGCGTCAGCGGAGAAACTGCGCTTCCGGAAGCGTTGTACAAGCGGTGTATTGTACGAAAAGAAAGCCTCGCAGACGAGTGTTCTGGAACCTCATGAACGAGGGAAGGAAAGTCCACGACACTGGTCACAGGCTGTACCTCGGAGGCCAAACAGCACGCGATGTACTTGCGCTCTTTCCCAGTCGGTTGTCCTGCAACGTCCTGCTTGCATATTGGACACAGGTGGTTCCGAGCCAGCCATGTATCCACACAGTCTCTGTGAAAAGTGTGAAAGCAGCGCAAGACTCGCACCAAGTCGCCATCTCGGAAGTCCTCTAAACAAACAGCGCACGTCTTCTCGCGGGGTCCCTGGTCGGGCCCAGGCCCTCCGCCGGGATGGGTCACGATGTGGCATAGCGTGTGCTTGGAAATCTCCAGCTCCGAACATCCCACTGACGCGTCCACGTCCGAATCCTCCTCATCAGAAGACGGCAAAGGTACTTCTGGATGGAAAACATGAATGTCGGACCTTAGAAGGCCAAGTCGCAAACTTACTTGTCCAGTATCCGAAGGGAACTAAAGGTTGACTATTGGGGATTATTTAGGGGATTATACCCAAAAACCGCTTGAAGGTTACCTCCTCTAGTGCTAGGCAACATGCAACCCGCCAGCAATTTGAATCCGCAATCCCAAATCGTTGTCTCTTTGCTCTTGAAGAACAAGTCAACCCGCATTTGGGTTTTGAGAGGGTTTGTGCATGTTCAAACTCCCGTGTAAGTTGGCTGATGCACAGGCTACCATGCAAGCGCCCAGAATGGCCCCACACTCCCAAACCCCAAGGGCGGAACTACACTATGCATCCAGAATCCCGGCCGAAATGCAGCAAACCCAACGGCGGGGACCAGATGCATTTAGATTCCCTGCCGAAAATGCATTCGTGAGGTTTGTCATGGGGCTTGTGCATGTCCAAATCGCTGTGTAAATTGTCTCATGTACGGGCCCAGCACGGCCCCACATTTCCAAATTGCCAAAGCCAAAGGCGGGACCATCCCTGCAACATGCATTCGTGAGGTTTGTGACGATGCGGTTTGTGCGTGTCCAAATCGCGTAAGTTGTCTGATGTACAGGCTCCAATGTAATTACTGTAAGGGCCCAACATGGCCCCACACTCCCATACCCAAAGGGCGGGGACCACATGTGTGAAGGACGGGGCTTGTGCGTGTCCAACTCGCTGTGTAAGTTGTCTGATGTAGGGCCCAACATGGCCCCACGCCGAAATGCGTTCGTGAGGCTTGTGGCGCGGCTTCCCAAACTCTCCCTTTGGAAGATTGCCGGGACCACCTCTGCATTTAGGCGTCTTCTCAAAATGCACTGGGCGTTTCCTGCTCGTTCATCGTTGCCAGGAAATGGTTCTGGCCCAGCACTCCCCGCAGAGACCGGAAGTGCGCCTTGCCAGCGAAAAACTCAAAGAAGCACCGTGCATTAGAGGTCTGCAAAAATGCAGAAAGGTTGGCTTGTCCCGCATGCGACCTTGCAATACCTTGCACAGCCCCTCCTGGCTTCGAATGGGCGGCAACTCCTCATGCATCTAGGCGCCCTCGAAAAATGCATTCGGTGCTCCCCTCCCCCACCCAAGCCCCGCCGTGAAGGCGTCCCTTATGTGTCCGCAAAGCCAGAACCAAATTTGTCCACATTCCAGCGACCTCGCCCGGAGCAGAACGCTTTTAAATCCCACCAAAAGCGCAAGTGGCGTGTCCTGGCAAGAGGAAGACTCGATGGAGCCAGGGCAGCAGTGGCAAAGCTGCTTTGTGGCTTCGAGTGGCCGGCAGCCCCCATGCATTTAGGCGGCCTCGAAAAATGCATGCGGCAATCCTCTCCCCCGCCCAACGTCCGCCGTGAACACACCCCTTATGAATCCGCTGAGCCAGAACCGAATCTGTCCGTCTTCCAGCGACCCGCCCCCCAGCGGAACCGCATTAAATCCCGGCGAAATCGCAAGTGGCGTGTCCTAGCAAGAGGAAGACTCGATGGAGCCTGCCGGGAATGCCTGTGCATGTAGGTGTTTTCTCAAAAACGCGCTGAGCGGTTCCTGGCTACCTGTGTCTGCCCCGCAAGCAAAACTGCAGCCCTGTGCATTTAAGGCAGCCTGCAAAAAGGAATGGGGGCTTGGGGAACAAGAGACTGTGCCTTTCCAGGGGCAATGCCAGCTTGCATCTCCTTGCAGCTTCAAAATGCACTGCACTGTCCTTCTTGCATGTGTTGGCCATTGTCCATGCGGCCAAAGTGCACTGCAACAGTCTTGCATGCATCGCTTTCAATTTCATGGTATGCTTGAGCTTGAGGCTACATGATAATGATGCCCCAATCGCAAGGATATGGAGCCTGCGATTTCAGATCGGAATCGCAGCCGATTTGAAATCGCTGCGATTTGCGCTACTAAGTGTCGGACGCATCCGGGTCCCTCCTGAGTCGCCTGGGCAACGCAAAGGGTGTGATGCCATCCATTGCCGCGGATAAGCCCTCTTCCCTGCTGAGCTAGGCAGGTGAATGGATGCTGCCGATGTCTCATGTATATAGAATGTAGCTGTTGCATGTGTGTCCGGTCAACGTGACTACAATGACTTCATGCGCCCTGCCGTCTCGAAGGTGAAATGCCAGGAACGGTGGCTGCATCGTGGCAAGGCTGTGAGAGTGTTCTGATGGACCCTGCCGCTTACTCAGGACTGACTGATGACTAGTTACGAGCAGCTTGCCTGGATCCGCAAATTCTCGACCTGGGTCAGAGATACGATGCGGTATGTGGTCGAAGTCAACAACAAAGGTAACCTTATATGGTCGCAGCTGGTCGGAACCTGCGAGTGCAAACGAGTGTGTATAATCTGAAAACTGGCGTTCGACATACCACAGAAGACCTCACGCCCCCAAGATTACACCACAGTATGTTGGAAGCATTGAAATTGAGGTTGCAGTGACCTGTTCTTTATATGTGACGTCCGGGTACGGCACACAATTGAAGCTAGCCACTTCCAGCTTGGTTCGAATTTCGACCGAAGAGGTTTGTCCGACGTAGGCAAACCACGCCTGCCCTTTGATCACGCGCTTTCTTTCCGGTCGAAGCGCGAGTCGCCCGGCAATCCAAGAGGTGCAGTTGATCTCGGCCGCTGCATAGGTGAAAGATCACCCTATTGGGCCCTATTGCTTGTTGAGCGGAGCCTACGGAGTTGGCTAGTCAGTACTGCTGGAACTTGAGCTCGAATAACTGGAGCTGGAACCGTCTGTGTCGCTGGAGGCACTGCTTGCGCTCGAAGGCGAAGGCGCAAGCGCAGCTTGGGGTCTGGCTAAGCTACCAAATCTGCCAGGCTGGCCTCCTAGGCGCCAGCCACCAGCGAGCGTGCCTAAAGCACTCCCCGAAACCCGACCAAACCGTTCCTGGCATCTTGCCCGGCTGTCAGTGCTGGGAGCACTGTAGGCAGTTCCGTGCAGCACTTGGGAGACACGGTCGTGGTGCAGGCGCTGGAGAACAGAGGCGGTGCTCGCATACAGGGCAGACAGTGCAGAGCGCCCTGATTCAAACCGAAGCACAGGCTGCACAAGACGCGGCCGTGTTGAGTGCGCAGACTCTGCAGGCAGCGGCCGTCGGTGCTGTGCTGGTGCCGACACTTCCGCTGCAGATCGCCTCAAGCGCGGGGTGGGCGGGGTGTGTCCTGGTTCGTCTGCAAAGAAGTCACTGCTGGTGAAGCCTGAGTCCGAGGAGGCCGCAGCTTCAGTTGCCAGTGTCCAGGGAGAGCCTGTGATGTCCTGCTTGCAAATGGGGCAGAGCCGGCTGCCCTCCAGCCATTTGTCCACGCAGCTTTGGTGGAACGGGTGAAAGCAGCGCAGAGACCGGATGCAATCGCCGTCTTTGAAGTTCTCCAAGCAAATCACACATCGACCGTGACGGTCTGCCGGCCCCACACGATCAGCCCGGCTGCAGAAAGTGTGAGACACTGTATTCGCAGCCACCACACATTTGGGATAACTCCCTGTCCACGACTGTTGGAAGAAAAGGTCTTCGTCGTAGGGCATAAGCGCAGGCTCGAATTCGTACTCGTTCCCGAAAACGTACCTGTCGTATTCGTCGGGGTCTGGCACCGGTAATGCTCTCATACCTAAGCTCCTGGGCAGCATGGCAACATGCGAAGACATAAAGCGCCTCAACAGGTACAAGATCAGTGTCAAGAGAAGACTGTGAAGGCAAGCTCTGCTGGTTGTTTATCAGTAGCGCTTGCTGAATATGCTGGATGCATTTGCATAGTCGCCAAGCTGCTCGGCCTGCACTGCATGTTGTGCCGATATGTTCCGTGACTGCGGGAATGGTGTCACTGGGCTGCGCAGGCTGCATCAGACAAGCCTCATGTGCACATGCACTGACCTTCTTTCCGACAACCCTTAAGGTGTCACTAGACAGGGCGGGGACATGAAAGCTTTCTGACATGGTTGGCCCTGTTCTCCAGTCCACACGAGTGTCATGCTATGAGTTAGCTTGACCTTTGTATGTGAGCTGGCGTGCTGCCAGATGCCACAACAAGTAGTCAAACCCTTATCTGAATCCATGAGTCAAGTTGCATGTGCCGTCCTTGTTGCTGTCTTCACTGGGCGCACTGAAACCCCATTGTGAGAACATTCTGCTGCTGATGGACTTGGAGCAAAGAATGAAACTGAACTGGCGACGGCCTTTGTTGACCAACTAGGGTATCTTGTCGCATCAGCAACTGAGGTCGCTCAATTGAGGCTTGCTGTTCGGGGCAACGACAGGCTCTGAGCCAAGACGATACGAAGATGTTTGGCCATCACAGAAGATTGATCATGCTTTCAAGGCCGCAGAACTGGCAAGCCTCAAGTTCAGCTGGCCATGAGTACTTAACTGTACAAAGAGATCCCAGGCGCCGCTCAGCACTGGTGCTACGGGCCGGCTCTGTGTCTATGTGCAAAGGGTCGCTGAGCCCAAGTATTAGCAGCTCCTCACTCCTCAGCTCTTATCCGGCATCGGCCAGCTGGCTCGCGCCAGCAGCCTCCTGAAAAGCTCTGGGTCGAGATGTTGTCTTACTATTGTTTCCATCATCACCGTCGAATTCTGGACGACCACGGATGCGATTGCTAATGCCAGTCATGACTACGTTCATCGTATAACCACGAACTCTGGCTACAGCCTTGTGATTCTCATCTGTCGTACTGAGCTCAAGTCACGATCATAAGTATGCTTGTGTATAACTCTACCTGCGGGTCGCTGAGTAAGTGATGCTGACCTTGCGGAGGCTTTGCAGCAGCGTCTCGTTGAGGCCACTGCCAAAAGGCCTGGGCGCCTTGGTCGCGAAATGATCTTCTTCGGTAGAAACAGGTAGAAACCTATCTGGCCCAACGCTAATGAAGTCACTGAGTGCAGGTACGCCATCTCCGCGCGGTTTCGACTAAAGATTCAGACACGGGCTTCAGTCCTGAATTACACACTGACAATCATTGACAGCCTCGACTGTCCAGCCGGGCAACAAGGAAAAAAGCTGCACGCTGCAGGATGTTCCCGGCCTCGGCTGCAAATGGCTGCGCAGGTCTTTCTGGAAGCTCATGTGGCACCACACAGAATGCTTTGCGATTCGGCCAGCAATGGATTCAGCCAAGTTGCGATAGCACTGGAGTCGCCGAGAAGCAGCCTCCGAGCATCACTGAAAGGCTGTGCCCTGCACTGAGGTCTTAGCTGCCAAGACTCTTGGCCTGAAAGCGCCCAGCGAATCCTCTGCTGCTGCTCCGGTGAGCAGGTTGCCTGGAGGCGGAGGCTGCAGGAAGCAATGCAGCAAGCATCGTGAAGCGTGTGGCCATGTCAAGGTCTTAACTCAATGCATAGACGAGACACGCTCAAAAGCCAGCTCTGCGTAAGCGAGGAAAACCTGGGAGGTCGCTAGGGCTGCAAGAAAGGCGAGTCGCAAAACCTGGCCAGACTGCAGCCGGGCAGCTGCAAAGGGAGCACCTTGGAAAGTCACACACCTGAGCATCTGCCTCGTCCTCTCTCCAAGGCCGTGAACTTTTGACTCTCTCGGTAGCCCTGAAGTGGTCTGCAAAAGCACGACAATGCGACACACATGACAATTGATGCGCGCGTCCTCTCCCCCCCCCAACCACCCCGCCCGTGCGAGCATCATAATTCTCCCAGGCACAGACTCCTTCGATAAGGAAGAAATCCCAAAGTCTGCAGATGCTCTCCTCGGTGCCAAGAAGCATGTGACTTAACACAAGTGCGACACCACTATGTCGACTATGTCTGCTTGCAGGCTCAGGCTCGATTGGCTTCAGCTCCCGCGAGAACAAGGTCAGCAGCGGCTCTGTGGCGATCCAAATGAGAGGCAGATCAACCTGCGACGTACAGCCTGTCTGTTCAAAGGACATGGCGTCCGAATAGGTCCAAGTACAGAGCTTAGCATGACTTGAGCACTCATGTTCAAAAAACGTTTCTGGGCGCGATCATCAGTGGCAACGTCTTCCTGCTGCCGTCTTCAATAGAGTGCCGATTGGCAGTCGCCACGAACCTGAAGACATAGCATTAATCACCACGCCGCCTCCGCAAAACGCGCGTGGATTTTGGGCAGCAAGTGAAGCCTATGGCAACATTTCACGGAGCATGCTCGGGACAAGCTTGCAGCTCTGAGGATGCACCAGTCCAAATCTTCGAGTTGCCAGAATCTAGTTACAGTTCGGGTCAAGCCTGCTCGGCGCAGTGGCCGCGAGGGGTTCACAAGACACTCAGCCCGGTGCAATAGTGCGTCAAGAACTGCTATGTCTCGTAAAAGGCCACTCATCGACTCCTCGTAGTATCCTGTTTGTGCCGATTTCTCTTGGAGGCTGAAGAAATGAGGCAGACAGACCTCTTGAATCTTGAAGGCTGACAGTGCAGTGTGCTGCCAAGGGTCCGCTGCAGAACGCATCCTGAGCAACTGAAGAGCGTCCAGAGTCTCGAACACACACACACACACAGAGAGACAGACGCAGGCACAGACAGAGAGGGCTGAGCTGCCAGGAGCATCTAGCCACAAAGAACTAATTACGTCGTAATGTACTGCCGCGATGTGACATATTCGAGTGCACCTGTTGCCGAATTCGACTCGTTCTCTAAATTTTTGAAGTCGAACTCCTGTATGCGGCCTGCTCACCCCCCTCGGGTTGTTGTAAGGCAAGCAGACTCAAATTCGGGTGCACCACCAAGCCTTCCCCCACGATGCATCGTTCTCCAGGCGCGACGTTGACACCTGGTCCGGCCTTCCCCTTCCCTCCCATCGCCCTGCCATCCATTCGTTTGCTCGGCCGCCGAGTCTGATCTTGCGCCAGTGTCACCTGCATTTCCCAGAAGCTGGTAGACACAGCCCTCCTAGCATGTCGATTTTGAAGAGGCAACCTTAACCCAAGCTTGCCTCTCTGTGCACAGGAGCAGGTTAGGTTGCGGCTGAGTGTGCATGCCTTGGCATGGAGTTCGGGCTCCGCGAACCCTCCCATTCTTCGTGCAAGTGCGGACCAACATATCTCGATGTCTAAGACGTGAGAGAACGGTGTAATGAAAGTTTAAACCCCTGCGGTGAGCAAGAGACAGAGGTTCCTTTAGCCAGAATCTTTCCGGGTGCGAGAATCCGTGAGCCCACAAAGGCCACCCAGCGCTTGCTTCTCCGTGAACCCCACAAGCAGTTCGACCGCGGCCACGAAGTTCAGACCTGCAGATCGCCGCAAGGCACACGCCGACACCGGAATTTCGACCCGGAATGCTCGAGGAGGAACAGCTTGTCAAGAGCGAGTACAGTGCCTACGTTTTGCCTGAAAGGCTACGCAGTCCACATCACTTTGCTTGCGCTACCTTGGGCTCCTCTTCCATCTTATTCGTGTGCAGAAACTTTCGGGTGCTCAGTAAACTGAGGCTAGCAGCAAACACACTCGCATCAAAAACCCTCCGGCGATCCAGCGTGTATGCTGCATGCTCCATGAAGAATCCACTGTTGGGCTGAGGTTGCCGCCCTCGCTATTTTTGCTGTTACTAGCTGCAATCTCGCCGTGACATCTAGTCTCTCACACGACTCCAAAGTGCGTACTGCTGCGAGCTGAGCTTCGCGGATGCTGATGTGAGACCACTGCTGGTAGGAATGGGCATATCCCAGCACGGTGTATTGCAGCAGAGAGGCCTTGACAGTATCCCACCTGCAAAGCCGGAGCCAAGACAGAAAGAAAGTTGAAATATGTTGAAAGCCTCTCGATCTACAGCACTTCAGCCGTGAAGAAAAGAGCTGATTCACACTTAGGGCCAATGCTGTTGCCTTGTGTCGCTTGTTAAGTTGCTACAATGGGAAAACTCCTCTGTCTCGAGGCCTGTGGCCGGAGCAGTGCAAAGGCGCGCAATACGCCTCATGCAGGCAGATGTGTCCAGACGAGGTTCAAACTTGCAATCTAACGATTCTAGACTTTCTAGGCCCCGCCCATGTCAGGAGGATTCGCTGATGGTGCAACGAAGTTTTCATTCATTGACTGCTGGCATGTCTCGACGCAAGCACTCCGACTGTCCGAGCGAGCATCTCTCCAAAGATCTTCTGGGTGAGGGGGATTCATCGGCGACACAACCGAAATGCGACAATTACCCGATGCAACATGCAAACAGAAGAGAACATCATCAACGACTTCCGCTGTCATGGCAGCTTCTAACTGTAAAGACCAGATGTGGGGACCTGGGAATGTATTTGGGCTGACGTGAGGTCATGCGGTTTCGCGTGCAAGGTTCGGCACTGAAGCAAACACTGTCATCCATGCATGATGGTGAAAATTGCCAACTAATTGAGAGGGAGGATACTCAATCAGGTACTTCTTTGCACTGGCTTGTGCGATCCACTCTTCTCTGCAGTCTACTGGCACTCTGGCACCAATGTCTCAAATGAGACACGCTCATGATGAAGAAACAAGCATTCAAGCAAACAAACACGAATCACACACGCACTTGAGTTGTACTTCCGCCGTTGAATCCGAGTAACCCTGTGTAATCTAGGTCGGCAGGCCGGCCAAAGCGTTCACGTAATGCGGACTTCACGATGCGAAGGTGAAACTTCGTGCGTGCGTACAAATGGAGAGTCAAGACCATGGAATGGCAAATGCACGATCGTGGCTACTGCCGAGGTTCACAGCAGACAGTAGCACTGGGCGAGACTCTCATGCCAGATTTCGCATGACATGAAGCGCATGCCCAAAGGGCCCGAAGTACGAACATGGCCGTAGCTCCTGCCAGCACATGTAAACCATCTGTAACTTCACTTCTGTGGTACAGCGACCTGTCCAAGATGGCCCGTGAAGCGCAGCATCAACAGGGATGATACTCCACATGCAGCGAAAGCTGTGGCTGCTCGTTACGTTGGGTATCAGTGTTCAGGCACGGAGGTCATCAGCCTGCGCTACGCCCACACGATATAGCTTCGCTGGCACATGTATCACCAAGGATCTATGCCGCCGGCATGTGGGATGTTTCAACCGGCGGCAATTTTAATCACGTGCTCCGTGTCACACGCACAGGGCTTTCACACACATACACCGTTACTTTCTGAGTTACTTACCGAACTTACTCGTGCTTGCTTACTTACTCGACTTATGCATCGTGCAATCCTGCAGTCGCGAAGCCAAGTTGCCTGTTCCGAGCATCGCTTGGAAAATCACGGAAACTTTCAAGAGTTCGTGGGCTCCGTGGCATGACTGGAAGCAAACTGAATCTGAGTTATTAACCCTTCGCAGAGTGGCAGCTGTCTAATCTTTGCTTAGTGGCCTGTACTTTGCAGGTGCCCGCGTAAAGACCGGCTTTTCTGGCAGGGGATCTGTACAGGTCCCTCGGGTCCCTGCAATAATTGCATTTGTTGCCCTTGTTTTTGTTATTGTTGTTGTTGGTGGTGGTGGTGGCTGGTGCTGGTGCTGGTGCTGCTGGTGGTGGTGGTGGTGGTGGCGGCGGTGGCGGCGGCGGTGGCGGGGGCGGTGGCGGCGGTGGTGGCGGCGGTGGTGGCGGTGGCCGCGGTGGCGGCGGCGGTGGCGGGGGTGGTGGTGGTGGCGGTGGCCGCGGTGGTGGTGTTCTCGTTGTTGTTGCTGCTGTGCTTGCTGCACAGCAACAGCGCAGCAACAACCGCAACAACGTTGCAGAAGCAACAGCAGCAAACAGCAGCACGCAGCACACTGCAAACAGCAATGCAAGCTGTTGTTGTGGATGTGGTGGTGGTTGTGGTTGTTGCGGTAGTTGTGACTATTTCGGTTGTTGTAGTTGTGGTTGTGGTGGCTGTGGTTGTGGCAAGAATGACACGATAGGGAACTGCCGGTCTAGTCTCGCGACCGAGTGGCGACCAAGTGCCTCCCGCTGGTTCTGGTTCAGATCGGTGGGCCGTGTCCTGAAATAGCTCTGGAGTACTAACGACCCTGGTAGAGAAATCAGGGTGCGACACCATCCCAACTCAACCAAATGAAAGCGAACTAGTGGCTTCCTCACAGTTCGTGCTTGTGATTTGTGCAATGCAGCTACGAGTATATCCAGACGCGTGCTTCCAAACCGATGCCGTGCATAGAGACATGAACGGGCGCCGTTTGGCAATGATCTTGCAGCGCAGCTGCCAAAATGCTGACAGCATGATGTTGCAAGCTTGCCATTATGATGTAGCTGTACATCTGTAAGTGATTGATACGAGGCCTCTCCTGAATGTTTCGGGCTGCTCCCTCCAGACAGCCGAGTCAACGTTTGTGTCAAGCTGAAGAGGTCAAGTGAAGCTCTGCTACGCTGCAACGCCGCAGCCATGGGAAAAGGCTTGCAGGAATTCGCTGGAGTGCCCAAATCGCCAACTCGCCCTGGCAAAACGATTCAGCCCGAGCAAGCCCCAATCGCCCCAACCTGCCATCCCCAGGATCTGGTTTCGTTGTGTCGATACGGGGTCTGGCCTCGGCACGTCCTTCTCGATCTGCTTTTGGCAAGTCTCGTCAGTGCAAAGCATGCCTGCCAGAGATCCCGGCAACAGGCAGAACTCCCACCTTCTCCACACAGCGCGCGCCGTCATCCAGTGGCTCATTGCCCTCGTCCGCCACATGGAGCCAGGTGGGCCAGAGTGCTAGCCTCGCAGCCAGGACGAAGCCAGCATGAAGTCAAGGAGTCAAGACAGAACTCATGTTTCCGGCCTGTACTGCCAGGGTATTCGGTGCCCAAGTATGAAAAGAGCTCGCAGTTCGCTCCGTGTTAGCTCTGCAAGAGATCGATCACCCAGCACTTTCTTCCTCAGTTGAGCTAAATCAAGCCCAAAAACTCACATCCGAAGTTCCCAAAAGGCCACAACTGGCATCAGTCTTCAGTGAATGCGTGCCGATACGTGCAGAGCGGCCATCTGGCAGAGAGCTCTGCCTCGCCGTCTAAGCGGTCCCCGCCATTCAGGGGCAAAGGCGCATCCCAGCCTCCAACAGCTCAACAAATTTGCGGAAACTGTTTTAACGGCAGGAGATCTTAATGCTCGTCTCATGTCTCGGTGCTCTCGGCAAAGCAGCCATCGCCTGCAGCAAGGCTCGGATCTGGCTTGATGCCGAGCCTCAGGCCAGCGACACGGGCCCCAACTGCAACGAAGCGTGAACTGAGGCTCCCACAGAGCTGGCGAGTTCAGAACTTCCCAAACCCCTGCTGTTGCGTCTTTCCAAAATGCGGAAAGAGATAGGCCTGACATCCATCTTCTCTGAGCGAAGCAAGCATCATCAAACGATTCCGTACCATTCTAAGTCTTCCGTCTCTTATGAATTGAATTGGAGACCACATTGAAGCTCCTACTCGGGATGTTGTGGAGCGCCTGTGCAGCTTGCACCCGCCTGCCGGGGGCGAAGTTGAAACTACAGAAGGATGAGTCTGCCCCTTTGCACTTTGCAGACTTGGCACATGCATGCACATGCGACGTGTCCAGACCCGCCGCAGCTAAGCTTTCGCGGTAGGTGCTTTCTTCCTTTCTTCATTCCGCTCCTTTGCAGAGCGGGATCCAGGCCTCGGAGGAGGTGCGCACACGCGAAGGCAGCGGGGGCGACGGCGCCACGAGGGCAGAGCCAGCACGCCTCAGTTTCAGCGCCTTCTCTGAGATCTTCAAGGTATGTCTTGCCACTACTGAAGTCGTCCAGATTACCATCGCTTCAGCGCCATCAAGATGTCCGGAGAGGTCAATGTGGCAACAGCAGCACGCGCTCGTGCGGCAACCTGCAAACAAAATCCCAGAGCAACCCACATGCCAGTCCGCACGCCCGAATCATCACCTTTCATCGGTTGCCGAGTCGCCCAAGTTGGGAGCTCCAGATCTTTTTCCAGAGGTGGGACACCGAAGCCTGCGCACCAGCTGTGTGGGGCTGAGGTAAAAATCGGGGATCAACCTCAATTAAAAATGGCGATCAAAAAAGATAATATCGAACCTACTTGAGAAATTACCCATTTTCGGATCAAAAAATGAAACATGGAAACGCTGTGCCAGTCACAGGTTCTTTGGGGTCGCAGTAGCACTGGCAATAGCAGAAATATATTATCATCATCATCATCCTCGTCGTCGGCTCATCATAAACCTTAAGCACACCCCCCCCCCCCATTTAGCGATTCCGGATCATCATGTATCTTAAACATTAAACACACCCGCTCGATTGGCGATTCCGGTCCATCATATTTCTTAAACACGCTCCCTCTTTTGGCCATTCCGGTCATCATATATCTTAACCACGCCCCCTCATTTGGCGATTCCGGTTCATCATATATCTCTTTAGCCACTCTTCCACGTAGTCCCAAGCAGGGTGCCGGCCTGTTGGGTCACCCGCAGTGAATATTAGGCGTGACAAACACAAGCCCAACATGAACCCCCTCTCTGCTCAGCTGGATAGCGTCGAGTAGTGGATGTACTCCAAACTATGTCGCTACAGCCTTGATATGCTTTCGTGTGATTTCGGTCAGAACGGGCTGAACGAAAATTTTATTTCGTAACGGTGAGGGATTACAGCATGTAACGCGAGCTCTTTGCGAGACGAGGGGCGCTGAAGCTGCCCCAAGGAGCGGCACAGTAGCGCAGCCTGCAGGAGTTTTTGTGCTTTCGGGCAGTTCAGCACCGAGGCCATGTACACAGCATGGCATCGGGGCCTCAACGTCGCCACTGAGCAGCACGCATTCCGTACGCAATTCCATGGCCTGCGAGCGGCTCGGAAGCTCTGGCATCGCAGTGACTGCACGACTGCACAAACCCCCAGGCCACACCTCTGTGAGGTCAAAAAACTCCAGAAAGACCGCAAAGTCCAGCCAGTTGATACTCAGCCCAGAAGGGTAAGGAATCCTTCAGCGCTTCGGAAAGCTCTGAAGTCTGGCTGCAGCTGAAAACATTTCATAGCAGTTCCATGTAACATGTGTAACACATTTGTAACGATAGCTAACTGCTTGTCTTGCGTCTGGGCTTTTGAAGCCACGCAGGCCGACCTGACAGGGATCGTAAGGTTCGGCGCAGCCGAATCGCTCCGAATGTTCGTCACACTCTCATGAACTGGCCGCTTATCGGGTATCTCGACGCAGGCCTCAGATAGCCCAGGCAAATCTTTACGGGCGGTGTTCCCGTCCCCAGCGTCTGCAGCTCAAGCTGATCTTGGCCAATTCCTTGCAGCGTGTAGTGCATGCTGCACATGCCATGCGCTGAGCTTCGCTTCCTACGGACCTACGGCCTGTGCGGTTGCTATCGCCTTGCTAGGCATGTGTGGAGGTCCACGACAGCTCATTCACGGAGCTAGTGTGGGACTGTGGGACGGATTCCTACAAACGGCCCGTCAATTCCTGCATCGGAGACATACGGTAGGTGAAGCAGGTTTGGATTCCAGACGTCACGGTCCACCTCTGCAGCGCCCTTTGCCGTGGTTAATTGAATGCAGGCTTCGCACTATAAGTGCCAGAAGGACGTTGAGCCAAGTGTCGCAGCCGTGCATCCACGAACGTTTCGTGCGCAGGCAGCCATGCCATACCTCCAGTAGCATTCACTGGAGGTATAGCAAAGCAAAGTATCTCAGTTCAGAAAAATCCAGGCCAAGCACAGAACCGGATTACTTGATCGCTTCAGCAGAGCTGCACTGCAGTCCTGGCTCTGCCGCAGTGTGGACAAAGCGGCGCACATCCTGAGCAACCGCGAGCATCCTTTTCTGACTCGTCAAAGACAATCTTCCGCTTCTGCGGCTACCGGCAAATGTGTCAGGACCCTATATTAGGACCTAGGATAGCATGGCCACGTGCCAACTGCTGTCCTCTGGCATGGTGCAGATACGGATCCTCTGTCATGACTAACCAAACATGAAAAAAGGGCAGGGACTCCCCATCGGCGCCAAGCAGCTGCAGATGCAACGGCTGATTCATGGCCCTGCATGGCCCCCACCGTCTCCTAAGCTTTCAATCTATCGCCAGGGTCGAGACACGAGACGTGCGAGGAGATCTGGCACTCTCAAGACGAACTGCTGCTTTCGAGACGAGGCTCCGTTACATCAGGGCGAAGGCAAGCCAGCGAACCCCCAGAACATGGCTTGCTCAGGCAGAGGGTCTCTCCTCGATAGACTTGCCGTGCTTCCTTACCTTTCCCGTGCAGAATCCGGAGTTGCGACCTGGCTACACGAGACACCTCCACAGGCAAATGTCATCTAAGCTGGGCTGACGAATGCTTTGGATGCTCGTGGACTTGAAGCCAGTCACATCGCAGGCAAATAGGCATCGGCTTGCAATGCTTCACAGATGCACATCTTGCTCGAAGCATTGAAAAGTGGCTCGAACACCCGCAGATGTCTCCCTGTGAGCTGACATGCGCTCGGTATCTGAGGCTTTGGCGACGACACAAGCAAGTGCAGCCTGATACCGCTCGAATAAAGGACCACGAGAAGCCTGAAGGATGGAGCAACAAACAGTTCAGTGGCAAAAAACACCAAGAACACACCTGCAGAATCTACAGGAAATGCAGGGGGTATCTCCGGCAACATCCGTGGCAGCCTTCCTCTCTGACCATATGCTGCCAAGAAACAGACAAGCAATGCAAGTTCTCGGAACATGGTGTTGTTTTGCATCCTGCTGAATGCTGCCGCATGTTCCCGATGGTTGGCATCCAAATGCTACGGAGGACATGCAGGAAGGCTAGGGAACTTCAAGCTTGCCTTTGCGCCAGCGTGGCCATGGTGTGTTGCACAACCTAACGGTTTGCACCTGCTCTCGACCTTCAGCTGATGGAAGACTGCTCAGCTAAGAGGCAACGACGGCACCCCGAGAGCACATAAGTCCCTTCGCCGGCGGGCCGCCCTAGCTTCAAAGTTACGAAATTGTGCTTCTTCAGCACCCCATGAAAGGAACACACTTTTGCTTCGCATGTACAATATCGGCTCTGGCAAGGTTGCCAAATTATCACCGCGAGCCCGGCTTTGTACAATCCTTCCCCACTGCCCGCACAAGCTTTTCAAGCACAGAACACAACTCGGCAAGGACGTGAATCTTCTCTCTGCCTCAAGGCGCTCCTTTCGCACCAAGACCCACAGAAATGCGGTCAGCACGGTGCCGGTCTGATGGATAGGTGGCATGGATGGCAGAGTAGCAGCCTGCCGTGTGCCACTTTTCTATGGGCACGATCGACTTCAAAGGCATAATGGACCGTCCTTTCATTGAAGCCGCTGCTCTTGTGCCAAGCAACCGAAGCAAACGATCCAAGGAAGCATGGTGCAGATGGCCATCGCAGTCCCCAGTGACTCTGCATTTGCTCTTCGACTGCCGCCACTGCCTTCCTCGGTGCACGTGACAATTGCAAAGACGACCGGCTAGCTTCCTCTCAAGGCCCTCAAAGCACAGTCCAGTAGCAGCTCCAGGCTGGTAACCAAGCACGCCGACGCAGATGTAACCAACCACGGGACCTTCGCCGGGAGACCGTCAGACAGATTCACCACAAGCCCGTCGTGCGAAACGCTGATGATGAGCTACGAGTATCTTATGTCTTATGCAGACGTAAACAAATCTCCAAGCTATGTCTGGGATCCGTGACTTGTTTGGCGTCGCGTGCCTGCAAAGACTGACCCGAAAGATTGTGCAATGGCAGTCCTGGAGAACCAAGATGTGCGAGCAAATTGCACCATTTCGAGCTTGAGCGTGAGTTCATGTCAAGACAGTCGGCCGATCCCGCGGTTGATTCATCCAAACGCACCAGAACATCCAAACCGGCTCGACAGTCCACCAGGCAATGATCTTGCCGCGGCAGTTCGGGGACACCAGCCTTGGGCTAAGTACGAAGCCAGTGTGCTGCCTCCCCTCTCATCGAAGTGTCGCCAAAGCACTCAGACCACAAGGGGCGGTCCACTCCCGGGTTGCACCAGGTTGCCTGGGCCACAGCGGCCACGGCATGAACGGAGTGACTAAAGCCTAACGGCTGAACGTGAACATGTGCAAATTGCTGTGTCCCGAACTAGCAGGGAGAAGGTGAACAATGCAGAAGCTAGGCTGGACGGAGAACCTCAGATGCACAGGCCAAGCAACAGAATCATTTCCAGATGGATGTATTCCGTACTGTACAGTACCAGCCTTTCCCTTACCAAGCAACGGCTGGAGTGGGAGTAGCAGCGCAGAACCCAATACCTGGAATGGATCACGTAGCGAAATCTGTTTCATGGTATTGATGCACATGAACACGCTTTTTGTTCTTGACGGGGTTGCGCTGCCATCGCAGATTACGGTGGAGCCAGGTCACAAGGGAGCCATCCCCAGGATTATGGACAACTGCGCAACGAAGGCGCGGCCGTGCAGAGGTGACACGCGGGCCATGTAGTCTCCCAAGATTCCTCTCGAATGAGTCAAAGCCGAAGATGCGCAAACCTATGCGGAATGGGTGCCTAGCATCCCTCTGGTGAGATAAGCAGCTTGCTGATACACTTACGGCTGGCATTGTCTGAACATGGGGACAGTGTGGATAAAGCCCACATCGTATCAGAGACCGCCCCCCCCCCCCCCNNCCCCCCCCCCCCCCCCCGCAAGACACATCTCTTCGCGGATGCGGCAACAGCGACAGTGCAACTGGCTCCATGCTTTGCTGATGCAGCTGGCCTCCCAAAAGGCAACCGAGAATTCGGCCCACCGACATCACCTCGGACGGAGACGTGGCCACACATCAGGGCCCTGCCGTGCCCTGCTTTCTTCATGCCAGGCACCGCCAAGACAACTGCTGCATGCGAGGAGTCGAAACCCAGGTCTTCAACGAACATCATCCTTGGCCAGGCACGCCAGCAGCCCCTCCGCAACAGCTACGCTTGCCATCACACACCAAGAGTCATAAAGCTCAAAGCATTCCAGGGGATGCAGCCTTGGCTGGAGACGGCACAATTGGCGGATGCCTGTCCGCCGCACCGTTCGTGGCAGCCAAGTTGCCGACCACGCCGCCCAGCCTCAAACAACGTGTATCCAGTGCGTGCCACAGACAGGGACTGCATGCCCTTGCTAGTTGCGATACTTTGATTAGACCATCTCCGGTCGAGAAGGCTGCCCCCGAGGTGAGCTAATCCTTGCCCAACTTCGGCTCCAGCTGTGCCACGGCTTCAAATCTTTCGCACACGTGCTACGAAACTCCCGAAATCGAACAGCGCATCTGTGACAGCACGCGCTTCGCCAAGAAGCAGCAGTGCTCTGAAGGTTGGGATGCGGAAGATGGTCCACAGCTGCTCCATCTCTGTGGCCAGTGCACCTAATCGGAACGACCGTTTGAAGAAAGCTCTGATGGAGAGCAGTTCGTGCCAACTTGCAAACATGGCACCTTCTAGCGTCCTCTCAGAGGCCGGGCGACATTCCGCAGGAAAAGCAACGAGCAAACAAAGCGCGAGCCTCACTGCCAGCCAGAGTCAAACTGAAATCACGTCGTCAGCCTAAACTTACCGTGTCCCTTAACGCCCCAAACTCCAAACCTCAACCCTTGTTTAGCAGCAGGCTTGCCTCGTCACCCGGGAGCTCCCTCTGCCCAGAACGCAGAGACGAACCCTCGAAACCCCTGGAGCTCATGCCAGTCGCTTCAAGCGCTCGTGCCTGACCCCTTTGAACCCAGACTCTGCCAATCAGAGTTTGCCTGACCCCTAAATCCCGAACTCCACGAACCCCAAGACCCTGTTTTCTTCACAAGGGACTCGACTGCTGCCCTCACTCCAAGACCCTAAACCGAACAGTCTCGTCATCCCCGAACCCGTAAGAACTTCAATTCTGAACATGACACACCAAACCCTAAACCATGTACCTTAACACCCAAAACCTCAAAGCTAAAACTCTAAAGGCTTGAACCCTACCTTTTACAGCAGGCCTCGTACACAGCAGCCCAACTTGAACCCCACCTAAATCGGAACTCAGCGATCCTCAGACCCTAAGACCCCCTAAGCCCCCGAAACCTCGCGCCGTTGTACGAGATGCGATGAACCGGGATCGCCAGATTAGGGGGCAGATCAACCGGGATCGCCAAATTTTTCCCACCCGCCCAGCTGCCCAATGAGGGGTCGCGTTTCGACTCTCACTCTCGCACGAGGCAGGCAAGGGGGTCGGGTTTAAGAAATGTCATCAACCGGGATCCAAATTTAAGCGGGTGGGGTTAAGATGTTCGACCAACCGGGTTCAGCAACGGATCGGGCCGGTTTACCAAATACGATGAACCGGGATCGCTATATGATGGGGGGCGTGTTTGAGATATGAACCGCCAAAGGAGCGGGCGGGTTTGGCAAATGCGGTAAATCGGAATCGCCTCATGCGGCGTCGGGTTTAAGAGATATGTGATCAACATACTGATCAACCTTGATCACCACATGAGGAGGAACGTTTAAGAAATGTGATGAGCTGGGATCGTCAGCAGAATCGCCAAACGAGGGGCCGGGCCCAAGAAGGCTGATCAACCGGGTTGGCGCGTTGAAGATATGTGATGAACCGGAATCAACAAGGGCGCGTGTTTCGCACAGGTGATCAACCGGGATCGCCAAATCCGGGGGGCGCCTTCTAACAAACGCGGTCAACCGGGATCGCCAAATGAGGGGTCGCCAACTGTAAGCGGCGCGTCAGCATGCTACTCCATTTCCATGGGTTCCTTGCTTTCTTGTGCCTTCTGCCTTGGCCTTTCTCGGAGCTTGTTCCCGAGCCTGTTCAGCCTCTGTCTTCTGATGCATGGGCCACGTGTCCGAGATGAGCGCATCGATTCCAGCTGGACTCTCTCTTAAGATCGATCTCCTGCCCGACGATGGCAAGTCTCTCAATTTCCAAAGGCTTGGCTGCTGACGAGATCGTGGCAGCGCCCATGATCCGGTACGCTTCCCGCCAGGAGAGGACCCCGGCAAGGAGGGCTGCCGCCGAGCAGGAAAAGCCTTCCGTTCAAATTATTCGGTAAGCTAATCCTTTAGACGAACTGTCTGTGCACGCTCTGCCCAATCCATTCATCTCCCGCCATTTGCCTGAGCACATGGCCAAGGATGCGAAGGCCACACCTCTGTCGGTTGCCTCGCATGCTCGAAACTGGAAAGCTCTGACCAAAAAGACCAATGTGGTCACTCTCTCCCACTGCAACGCTTGCAGTTTGTGAGACACCAGGTTCTCTTTCCACTTGACCGCTGGAGTTGAGCTTGACGTTGTGCTTGCAAACCGATAACACAGTGGGATCACAGAAAGGCTACCAATCCAACTTGCTGTCAATGAGACTGTTAGATCGCACTTCCCCGTGTCCAAAGACACGCCGAAACCGCCTCGACTTTCTCGCTGACTAAGCTCTGCGTAACTGGAACCGCTGCTGCCGCAAAAAATGCGATGGACATCTGTGTCGCAAAGAATCCTGAAGCAATGAGTCCGCCAAACTCAGCACATCCAGTTTCGGTGAGCTAGCAAGAAGCGCCTTGCAGCGTGGTAAGCTGCGGCGTCAACCTTAAATCGGGAACGCCGTGACTCATGCGTTGCCCATGACATCCCATGACTATGTCAACAAGACGCATTGTGAAGATGCCGGCCAACATCATCGACGCGACCATGATTCGTTTCCTGCGTGAGCTGCAGCAATGTGCTTGCAAAGGGCTTTATAGATTATAGTTGTAACTTACAGTCCTGACGATGATCAAACAATGAAACTGTCTAGCGAGAGATGGGTCTTTTGCCAGAGCAAAGAGTATGCAGAAAACATCGTTATGTGCCAACATGGCTCCTGTCCAGGCGGTCTGCGAGGGATCCCCAAACGACGCCTGATGATGCTGACATCTTTGACTATAAAGCACTTTCATTGCTCAGGGAAAACGACATGTAATTCGAGCCTGATAGGCTGTTTGCAAGACCTCTGGCCATGAGGAGCTTTCCGAGAACATCGGGAGCGAACCCGAACTCCTTCTCCAGCCTAGGATTGGAAAGAGTGAGTCGCCCACACGCATATCCCGCATGACAAGCACTGCGAGCATGCATCGTCTTGGCTTCTGTAGCGAGCCTACAACCGAAGCCGATAGTCACCAAGAGCGCACGAGGTACTTCATGGTGCACCATGCACCACTGTTATCATGCAACGGTTATCATGTGGCCCCTGAAACAGTTGCAACATGCCGGCCTGTGAGGAACAACCGAGCGCCGCGCTGCAGACAACCCAACTGAGGCAGGGGCTGCATAAAGGAAGCGGCGAGCAGGCCGATGTCGATCCTTCAATCAGCTTGCGTCTCCACCCTCATGCCTCAAATAGCCTCAAGGACCTCACCACTCGCTAGCTACAGCCGCAACATGGGCTGGAGCAGTGTCGGCTCCATCACAAAGGATCAGACAGGACCTAACAAAGTTACAAAAGCCTAGCGGGCCTAGCAGCTAGTAAAACGAGACCTAGGCGGCCTAGCAGCTCATCAACCAAGCCAACCACGGTCGCAGCTGCAAGGACGCGTCGCCGAGCGGCGGCTGCCAAGTCGGACTCAGATGTTGCAGTTGAGTCTCAGAAGCCCAGAGGGAGAGAAATGCAAAACAGCTGCTACTAGTATTGGCTACTGAGGTGTCTTCTGCGGCTATATGCTGCTTCCCTCGAGTGACCGGAACCCCTCCCCTCGTGATGGGCATTGAGCTGATCAGCAGTGCACCTCAACAAAAGATCGATCTGGAGCATCGTGCTGGTGAGGCTCTGTCGGAAGCCCATGAGGGCTGACAGGCCTGTGCTTAATCGTCGCCATTTTGGGGACAAAATGGCTGCAGATAGCAAGCGCAGGTCTGCTGAGACAAACGTCAGCATCATGCACCCGTCAGATTCAACTCGCGGCCCTGGGGTCATCACGCTGTTTTGCGCGACGTGACATGCCAATCAAACTGTATGCGAACAGTTCTGCGGACAGTTTGGAAAGGGAAATGTTACAGGAACAACAGACACCTCTGTTGAAAGCCTCAATCCAGTCGGCCAATGGAAGGTCAGGAAAAAAGCTGTCCAGCGGCCATCAGCAGGTGCCGACACACTCGCTTCCCATACAAAGCTGCGGTGCTGTATCTCCATCGTGGAACTCTGCCAAGTCACAGCTTCGTTCAAACAGCCATACAATGATTGATAACCGCATTTACGGCAGGTTTCGCCTTTGTCCGCATTGTGCAATCGGAAATCTCGCCTTTGTGAGTCGCAGGTTGTGGCCTGCCAAAAGACGACTTCCGAAGGTGGAGGGCTTGCTTTGTCGAGCTTGGCCGTAAGAGCTCCCGTCTTTTGAATGCTCCAGGAGAGACGAGGGACTTCGGCAGCCTGCGCCTCAAGCAGAAGAATTACAACGCTTTTTGACGCGCAGAGGGACGATATGGGACATCCGAACTAAGTTGGCCTAAGACCCTGCGTCCTCGCTGTGCACGAGGCCAGAGAGAAATGCGGAGATAGGTTCTGCCAGGCTTCGGACCTGCTGGCCGCCACCAATGTGCCCACTGTTCGGGATCATAAGGTGCCTTAACACAACATTTCGCAGCGAAGGGCCAGCGCCAAACTCTCCAGGTTCGAATGCCAAGCAGCCACTTCGGATCGGGTAGTTCCGGCCACCATACCCGCGTGTGATCCGGGACGAAGAACTCGTCGTTCGCGGCGTTTATTACTAGCTTAGGCAACCCGGCAAACCGCTCCCTGTAAGCGAAGGCATCCGTGATGTTGATGAACCAGCGTCCCTGCGGAGTGTCCTCAAGGTGTTGCAACCTGGATTTTGACAACAGGACCAAAGAAAGAAGAGACTTCTTTGGAGAGGTTCAATGGACAACATACTGTACCGAAGAGGACCAGGCACACTCCTGCTTGGGCGTAATCTGTGGCGGCTTGGGGCAGTCCACCCAACTCTCTCTGCGAGAGGTTAAGAAATCCTTGCATGTTCAAAGCCTTGGCGATCGGGACAATTGCTTCGACCTCAGCAGCTGGCTCGAGACGTCAGTGGCGTGTTCTTGTGCCCCCTTGCTTAGTGTGCTATGCACAGAGGTTGGACAAGAACGGCACAAGCACGAAAGGTATCAGCCAAGTATCACGGGCATCCACAGACGCAGCATGCCAGCACAGGTGCCCTCGTTTGCCTTGGCGGGTTGGATCTGACGGTGCAGACAGTGTCTGGTAAAAACATCAACATCGAAGTCGATCTGACACATCTAAGGCGCTGGTTCCCATCACGGCAAACTTCAGCTTGCCGGAGATGCCAGCAACAGATCCAGACTGTGCGAAGTCACCTTGAGGGCACTGCGCAGTTCAGAGCAAACATTCCAAGTGGCTTACAGTGGGCGCCTATCGCGTCCATCGCCCTCACGACAGCCTTCAGGAAGCAATATTTCGGAGACTCTTGGCGCCCAGAGTGCGAAAGTGGAGACTGGCCTTCGTCATGGGCAGCTCCAGCAGCAGCCGAGGATCTGGACGCCAGGCTCCAAGTCCGAAGGGCTGACGGCCAAAGAGTGCCCAAGAATGGGAGAGCGTCCCGTCCTCTGTCACATGTTGAGCTGTTCGGGATCGGACACTTTGTCTGTGCTTTTAACAACCGAAGGCCGGTCCTCTACTAAAGGGCCTTGAGATGCAGAACTCTTAAAGGTCAGTAGCTCTGCAGGCACGTTAAACAACACGGCAGCAGGGATCCCCACCGACACGGCAATCTTCGCAGCAGCTTGAACATCGGGATTTGAGGCTTCAACGGCCTTGTCCACGCCGGACGAGCCGTAGAAACCCATGGCGACATAGAGAAAACACCAGCCAGTCTGCGAGACATTCTTGGGCGAGATGACGACTAATGAATGATTCCAGGAACTTGGTGACACTTCATCTGGCAACCATGTCTGGCTGGTCATCTGCAGAAGTGCCGCAGTCCATTCCGCACCGCCCACAGAGCCTTGCAGCCTCATGTGGCTGTCCCTCCAGCTATAAGCTGCATCTGGCCGATCCACGTACTGTTTCAAGCAATCCCATCCAGAGCACCCATCTAAGAGCTTCTTGAGATTAGCCAGAGACGTCGGAGACTGGGAGTCAGCAAGGATGCTGTTCACCGAGCCTCGTCCCAGCCGCAAGTTCTGCTGAAGGAGCTGGAGCGACGACGGTGCCGGTTCGGGCTCAGTGCATCCTGAATCCTGTCCGTTTGCAGGCAGCCAAGCCAAAAAGATCCAAAGCACTAGCATGCACCAGCAGAGAGATGACACGAGCTGCCGAAGCAGTATGGATGTGGACTCTTGGTACTAGGTTTTCCCTAGAGCCAGGCTGCAGTGCGAAAAAAATGCATAATCAGGAGCCAGACTTGGCAATGCTCGTACGATCAGAGAGATGCGTTACCCGATGCCCCTTCGATTTCGTCACATGGCTTGCAATTCCTTCCGTACCGTTTTGCCACATTCAGAGTTGCGAGCGCAACTGTCCGCAGCCTTTGTGCGGCAAGCAACATGCCCGTGCAGCTTTGGCACGGGAGTTGCATCTTCCTGGAATCTTCCTTGCATTCAGCTCACATCGTGTGGCTTCCATTGGCAGGTTCTCACCGTCTCTTTCAACTCGTGCTGACGCCGGTGCGGCCCGCGCCATCACAGCAAGTCTCCGGGGCTGCTTTAAAGGACCCAACAAGCAGGAGTTCATGGATGGCCATGGTCATTTGCGGGGACTGGCTGGGCTGAGCCTGGGCACGGCAGTGATCAGATCGACGGACAAGGCTCGGAGAGATTCGAGACGCAGCCGAGAGTCGTCGCGGCGCTGTCCAACTCGTCCTCGCACGCAGCCTGGTCAGACGCGTGCTCACTCCGCAGAACTCCGCCCTCTTCCGCTCGCCTGCTGCGGAGCCCTGGCCGATGCTGGTACGGGTGATCCAGGATCGTGAGTGCGGCCCACATCCGCAGCCTTGCTGAAGCACACCGAAAAATCTTTCAGCCTTGGAGACGCTGCACGGGAGTCTGTTTTTTTTACTAAACTTCAGCGGCCTCGCTGGCTGCTACCAGGTCTGGCACAACACCCTTCTTGGGCAGTTGGTCGTCAGCCTCATGATCGCGGAGACGTGCTTCTTCAGCTCAGCCAGAGGGGTTAGCGCTGAGGGGATAGGGCTCGCCGCCCACGCTCGCAGACAGACATGATCAGTCACAGAAAGCAACCCCGACCTGTTTGTCGGGAGCAAGAGGTTGTCCTCCCTTCGTATTGACGAGTGTGCTGCACAGTGACATGGTGTGACTGCTATGCACTCCAACTTATTCGAACCGGAAGTCGCGCAACAAAAAAAGAGCGCCTGGCATAGTGGTGCGCTACTCTCGGTCTTGCTTGCTCCAGAGCTAGAGCGCTTTGTGCGCTCCCCCCCCCCCCCCCCCCCC